ATGCGAAGTGTATCGGGGGATGCATGCAGGGCGATAGTGCGGGTTCAAATCCCAGGTTATGTCTTGAAAAAAAATAGGAGAAATGAAAAATTTATAACATCCCTATGCTTTTTTTGCCTAGGTCATCAAGGCAAAAAAGCATAGCGTAGGGCCCTGAGCTTCCAACCTCTCTCGTTCTAACGAGGCGCATATACAACGATTTCCTAAAATTGACTGGTTTACGTGAAGAAAAGGTAACGATTCTGACTCATTCTCAACGCTCAATAGCAACGGTTTTGTACGGAGTTCTGATAACGATTTCTATTTTAACGACAGATCTCTACTCGTTAACTCGTTAGAGTTAGCACTTCATTATAATTATAATGGCTTTTACAGTATCCGCATTTATGGAGCACTGTAAGACATGTAAATATAACAAAGAAGTAAATCTAACGCTTTAACGAATGACATATCTATTCAGCCTGTGATGCCTGATATGTGTCATGTGCAGATATGCCTGAAGACTGCTTTTGGGCAATCGTTAAATTTGCGACTCGTTATAATAACATGTCCTATAGTATTTTATTCCCGTAGCTATACAAAAGACGTTACTTCAGTAACGTCTGGCGCTAGCCAGGGTCCGCACAGCTTTAATTTCGTGTTTGTTTGTTTGTGCCATCGGCATGCCTGGCGCTATCCCGTACCTGTCTCGTACCGTACCATGAAGGACAGCATCGGCATGCCTGGCGCTATCCCGTACCTGTCCCGTGCCGTACCATCAAGGACAGCATCGGCATGCCTGGCGCTATCCCGTACCTGTCCCATTCCGTACCATCAAAGACAGCTGGCCACAATATTCAAATAGGGTTTTCAAATGCAAGATCATAACGTGAAGCAACTTGGAAGAATGAGAATGTATGCGAAGTGTATCGGGGGAATGCATGCAGGGCGATAGTGCGGGTTCGAATCCTAGGTTATGTCTAAAAAAATAGGAGAAATGAAACATTCATAACATCTCTATGCTTTTTTTGCCTAGGTCATCAAATTGGTAGACGGTGCCGTATTACTATTACCCTCGAATGCAAAGAGAAAGTTGACTCTCGCTAGGCAAAAAAGCATAGCGTAGGGCCCTGAGCTTCCAAGCTCTATCGTCAAAATGTGCCTCCATCTTGCCAAAATGTGCCTGTCGTAACAGCCATGCGCCAAAGACCAAGTGCAAAAAAACACTCATTAAAATCGATGAGTTTAGCAAGATAAGAAGCTAAGCCCGAGAGTACATAACCCCAAGCTATGGGTGCAACTCTCATCTCTGAGCTATGGGTGCCCTGTGTGGAGTGTGCAACTCTGATCTCTGAGCTATGGGTGCAACTCTCAATGCCCTGTGTGGTTTGTGCAACTCTGATCTCTGAGCTATGGATGCCCTGTGTGGTGTGTGCAACTCTGATCTCTGAGCTATGGGTGCCCTGTGTGGTCTGTGCAACTCTGATCTCTGAGCTATGGATGCCCTGTGTGGTGTGTGCAACTCTGATCTCTGAGCTATGGGTGCCCTGTGTGGTGTGTGCAACTCTGATCTCTGAGCTATGGGTGCCCTGTGGGGTGTGTGCAACTCTGATCTCTGAGCTATGGATGCCCTGTGTGGTGTGTGCAACTCTGATCTCTGAGCTATGGGTGACCTGTGTGGTGTGTGCAACTCTGATCTCTGAGCTATGGATGCCCTGTGTGGTGTGTGCAACTCTGATGTCTGAGCTATGGGTGCCCTGTGTGGTGTGTGCAACTCTGATCTCTGAGCTATGGGTGCCCTGTGTGGTGTGTGTAACTCTGATCTCTGAGCTATGGGTGCTCTGTGTGGTGTGTGCAACTCTGATCTCTGAGCTATGGGTGCCCTGTGTGGTGTGTGTAACTCTGATCTCTGAGCTATGGGTGCCCTGTGTAGCGTGTGCAACTCTGATCTCTGAGCTATGGATGCCCTGTGTGGTGTGTGCAACTCTGATCTCTGAGCTATGGGTGCCCTGTGTGGTGTGTGCAACTCTGATCTCTGAGCTATGGGTGCCCTGTGTGGTGTGTGCAACTCTGATCTCTGAGCTATGGGTGCCCTGTGTGGTGTGTGCAACTCTGATCTCTGAGCTATGGGTGCCCTGTGTGGTCTGTGCAACTCTGATCTCTGAGCTATAGATGCCCTGTGTGGTGTGTGTAACTCTGATCTCTGAGCTATGGATGCCCTGTGTGGTGTGTGTAACTCTGATCTCTGAGCTATGGGTGCCCTGTGTGGTGTGTGCAACTCTGATCTCAGAGCTATGGGTGCCCTGTGTGGTGTGTGCAACTCTGATCTCTGAGCTATGGGTGCCCTGTGTGGTGTGTGTAACTCTGATCTCTGAGCTATGGGTGCCCTGTGTGGTGTGTGCAACTCTGATCTCTGAGCTATGGATGCTCTGTGTGGTGTGTGTAACTCTGATCTCTGAGCTATGGGTGCCCTGTGTGGTGTGTGCAACTCTGATCTCTGAGCTATGGGTGCCCTGTGTGGTGTGTGCAACTCTGATCTCTGAGCTATGGGTGCCCTGTGTGGTGTGTGCAACTCTGATCTCTGAGCTATGGGTGCCCTGTGTGGTGTGTGCAACTCTGATCTCTGAGCTATGGGTGCCCTGTGTGGTGTGTGCAACTCTGATCTCTGAGCTATGGGTGCCCTGTGTGGTGTGTGCAACTCTGATCTCTGAGCTATGGGTGTCCTGTGTGGTGTGTGTAACTCTGATCTCTGAGCTATGGGTGCCCTGTGTGGTGTGTGCAACTCTGATCTCTGAGCTATGGGTGCCCTGTGTGGTGTGTGCAACTCTGATCTCTGAGCTATGGGTGCCCTGTGTGGTGTGTGCAACTCTGATCTCTGAGCTATGGGTGCCCTGTGTGGTGTGTGCAACTCTGATCTCTGAGCTATGGGTGCCCTGTGTGGTGTGTGCAACTCTGATCTCTGAGCTATGGGTGCCCTGTGTGGTGTGTGTAACTCTGATCTCTGAGCTATGGATGCCCTGTGTGGTGTGTGTAACTCTGATCTCTGAGCTATGGGTGCCCTGTGTGGTGTGTGCAACTCTGATCTCTGAGCTATGGATGCCCTGTGTGGTGTGTGCAACTCTGATCTCTGAGCTATGGATGCCCTGTGTGGTGTGTGTCACTCTGATCTCTGAGCTATGGGTGCCCTGTGTGGTGTGCTACCTGTACTACGTAGTGAAATGACGATCCAGCTGCCTGGGTTAGAGTTTTCCTATGGTTTAGCCTGGATTTGAGTTTTCCTATGGTTTAGCCTCAACGATTTCATGTCCAATGCGGTAAGTTCAAAGGCAATGCCTGTGCGTGACACGTCAAGTACAAAAAAACATTTGAAGTCTCCAAGGAAAGGGGATTTGGAAGCAGGAACCTTAGCAGATCAACGAGAGAGCTTGGAAGCTCAGGGCCCTACGCTATGCTTTTATGCTTTTTTTCTAGCTCATCGTACATGTTATAATAACTGATGGAAATGTTTTTTTTCCGTTGATTGGCCACATCATTGTATTGCAAAAACGTTTCAATCAGTTTGAATATTATGAGTTAGGCAAAAGTATTTGCAGAATTTATTGCGGATGGTCATTTCTCTATTATCATATACTTTTGGTTTGCTCCTTCTTTTCTTTTTATCTCCTTATACTGTAAATCAAGAAATTTTGGCTGATGAGAAACTTTGGCCGATCTCGAAACGAAACTTTTCTCCGTCATTAAACTTTGGCCGATTTGAGTTTTCAAAAAGAAATCGATCGGTATTTTTTGCTCTCACATGCATCCATTGCTCAATCATGCATCATTTGCCTCTATGACAAACTTTGGCCTGCGATTTACTTTGGCCGGTTGGTACCAAGCGGCGAAATCAGCGAAATTAAATCGCCAGCGAAAATTAGTTGATTTTAATACAGTAATCGGATTTTCTGGCCTTTTTGTAGTAATACATTGACCTGTTGAGCCAATGAGGACGCCAAATGCATGGTTGCTCATGGAGCACATTACATAACTTTACAGTCTCCTAAAATACGTATCCTGTCCGACCGCAAAAGAGGCTGCAGATTTAGTTTTTCTGCGCGTCGACGGGATGTCTGTCCTGACGTTTCCTGGGACCGGCGCTGACTCTGCCGATCACGGGCGTTCTGGACTCGACGAGATGTCTGTCCTGACGTTTCCTGGGACCGACGCTGACTCTGCCGATCACGGGCGTTCTGGACTCGACGGGATGTCTGTCCTGACGTTTCCTGGGACCGGCGCGGACTCTGCCGATCACAGGCGTTCTGGAGTCGACGGGATCTCTCTTCCGACGTTTCCTGTGACCGGCGCTGAATCGCTCGTTCACGCTTATTTTGGAGACGACGGGATCTCTCTTCCAAAGTATGTTTTTGCTGACGCATCCTATCACCTATTCGGCGTCTATTCTAATTTAATTTCCTCCTCGTCTCCCTATTTCTTTCCAAATCTCCCTCTACATCAGGGAGTCGTATACATAATACGACGAATATTGGTACGGTACGGGACAGATACAGGAGCCCGCAAATATTGTGGACAGCTGTTATGTACAATCCTGTAGAGCCTTTGTAGTCACAGATACGGGACAGGTACGGAACAGATACGGGATAGCTCCAGGCGTGACACAAACAAACAAACAAACAAACACCAAATTAAAGCTGTGTGGACCCTGGCTAGCGCCAGACGTTACTGAAGTAACGTCTTCTGCATAGCTACGGGAATAATGGTCCACAGTTCGTGGGTACGTAATGCAGGCATCGCACCGCGCCAGATCCCATAATGGCCATATGCAGAGTTGCATCCTCTTGGGTTTTAAATTGTACTCTTGCAAAAACAAGTCGAAACATTTCAGCAGCAGGCCGAGCGTCGACTTTTCTTCATCAGAAATCAAAAATTTCACTACATCAAGGGGCCTATAATATACTAGCATTCTTTCATCCATTACAGCATTGGTTGGTGCTACAACGTACTAAAGTTGTCGTCACTCTTACCTGGTCTGTTTCTCGATTGATTTGATTTCGGCCACAGTCTTCTGCTGAAACAAACGACTAGCCCGCTCCTCAGCTGTTCGGTACATTCCACCAGCCATGCCAACGCTCAGCTACTGAAGACTAATCGGAGAAGACCCTGTACCAGCAGGCTCAAAACTTCATTGCCACAAACAGCAAAGCCATCATGACATTTTCATTTTCCAAGTTCGAAATGAAAGATTCAAACTCGAAAGAGTTTTTTTCGGTGCAACTCGTGCAGTACGCAGTACTCGACTCTTGTCGTCTTGACTTGAGTCTCGAGTACGACTACGATCGTACGAGTGTACGAGCGGGGAGTTTCCCGGCCCCTGGGCCGATATATTTTTTGGGCCGATATCTGTATGCCAGTATGGGTCCGTTGTCAAGACAAGAGTTCGGTGCATGACACGCGAAGGACTAAAGGGACCCTCACTTAATTTTTACCGACTTTCGCGGCAAAAAACACATTTCGACACGCGTGTGTGCTGGACGTCTGCGCGTGCACGACAAGACGTGTGAGCTGGCTGACAAGTGAGAGCCAGGGAGTCGCCAAGTACCGGCGTTTGACGACTCCCGGGGGGGATCCCGGCCTGGTGAGAGCATGCATGCATGCATGTCCAGCTGGCGGGAAAGGGAACCTATTTTGTAGATCGATGGGTTGAATGTGAAATTGTGGATTGTACACGAGGTTTGTTTTGATGTTCTGATACTTGTTGTAATGGCTAGTGATCTTGCAAACTGTTAACTGTTACTGTGACTTTTCCAAGTCCTACTGATATACCTTGTCAAATCAGATGCCCTGTAGTAGTCTTGGTGGAGGCAGACTGGAATGCGTTGAATTCGTAGCTTCTGAAATTGAAATTTATTTTTTCTTGAGTGACACTGACAAGCGATGGCATTGGCGACAGGAGAACTTTGCTTCCTTCCAGGAGAGCTGCATCGCAGTCGGATCCTGTCCATGCACATGCGATCATGCTGTGTTGTAGACAGTGGAGAGAGCTAATTTTGACCCAAGAAAATAGTTTTGAACATTCATGAAGAGGATATTGTTGCTGTAGCTAGCTGACAGACATAGCCTGTGGCAGTGGTGTATGAAATCAGCTTGCAAGGTCTGTAGCAACTTGATCATGCAGAGAAGGAGCTGAACTGCACACGCACTCGCTACTGCTCTCGCAAGATGATTGGCTTCTCTCCAGTGATCCAGCCCCCTCAACGCATGGATCCACTGCGCTTTGTCGTCGAACACATCAACACGCCTGTTGACGTTCACTGGGAAAGGTATCACTTCACGATGAGGAGCACACAGCACTCGTGGAGGCTTGTGCCGGGTGAGTGGCTTCTCTCCAGTGATACAGGCCACCTGGAGGCATCGGGCCAAGTGCGTTCTTTGCCGCAAGGGCCATATCAAAACAGCAACACCAGCAATGCCACG